GCGTGCTGAGTGGCACCAACGGGAGGAACGCGGGTGGCCGCGTCGTCGGCTGAGCGCCCCGCTTTGGGTGTCCGCCTGGCGGGTGCGCATGCTGGCGCACGCTTCCCCCCATCCCTCCGAGGTGTGCCGTTATATCCAACGGCTTGTGTTCTTTTCCCGTTTTTTTTTTGTTGTTGCCTGCATGGGCATCCGTTTCCTTCCGTCTACTGCCGCGCACGGGCCTCGTGCCCGCCTATACCCTGCGGCGCATACACGCCGATGTACACCTACCACAGCCGCCTGCCCCTTCACGGGAACGGCGATATACCCTTTCTGTTTTGACCGATTTGTCGTTTCTCTGATTTTGTTTTTGTACTGTGCGCGCCAAATGTGTGTGCCCGGACCGCCCCTGCGCACGGCGGTGGGTAAAATGGCACGGGTTTGTTTGTGACGACGGTGGGCCGCCGTTGAGCGCCGCTCCACGATCTGTTGTTGGTGTGTGTCTGAGTGCACGCTGAATTGGTGTGGCGTGCACGTATGCACGTAGTTGCGCTGTGCCCTATCCCCCCTTTCGCTCCTCTTCCGCTCTCTCATATTCGCGCCTGTGATGACGTGCGGCCCACCTGCGCGTACCAGAAGGCCCCTGCTGCTTGCTACGCTTGCCATTTACTGAACCGCCGAGGTGAGAGCCCGATTGCTAATGATGATGTCGCGTTACGTCTTGTGCGTGCTGTCCGTTGCCCTTTGCTTTGCCTGCGCGTGCGTGGTGGCACAGGACGAGGCAACAACCACGACAACCACTGTGGCTCCCGGACAACCGGCGACGACGACAACCACTGTGGCTCCCGGACAACCGGCGACGACGACGACCACCGTGGCTCCCGGAGCACCGGCGACGACCACCACCACTGTGGCTCCCGGAGCACCGGCGACGACGACGACCACTGCGGCTCCCCGACCACCGGCGACGACGACGACCACTGCTGCGCCCGCAAGAAGCACGACGACGACGGCTGCACCGGGCGGCTCTGCCAACAGCGACGGAAGCAGCAGCAGCAGCGGCTCTGCGTGGGTTCACGTGCCGCTGCTGGTGGCGGCTGTGGCGGCGTCCGTGGCTGCGTGCTGAGTGGCACCAACGGGAGGAACGCGGGTGGCCGCGTCGTCGGCTGAGCGCCCCGCTTTGGGTGTCCGCCTGGCGGGGGCGCATGCTG